AGACTGTCATCACCCACCACAACAAGTTCCTAGCATAGTCGAACACCACTGGCCTGAAATAAAGCCCCAAGGATGTCACCATTCCTACTCAGTCCAACTGTTGTCTCCTTCAGTAATGCCATCTCCTGCTCTGCACGGCAGTGCCCTCCATTCCAGTAGATCCCTTCCATCACTAGCACCAGCAAATTATTGCACTGGTAAAAGAAATGTCTCTATTTATATGCAACTCTTAAAATTTAAAAACAAATATAAGGAAGTTTGTCTCTTCCCCTTCTTGTGCAGCCCACATAAAGTGATGTGACCAAGGATTTAATCGAAACAACTTGTATGCAACATTAGAGGAGTGTTGGGGCTGATGTAGCTTGAGAGTTAGCATGACTAGGCTGCTTAAGCAAAACAGCATAACTACTCAACTTTACAGACCAAAATCAAAAGTATACTCATCAAAACACCTCATTTCACTTGGGTCCCAAGACACTCATCACTTTGACCAAGACTGTAATGAATATAGAATGCTGCTTCACCAGAAGCAGATCTCCACTAATTCAAATGCATTAAAACCCCCAAAAAAGACTCTCTGCTACAACAAAGGACAGAGACAGCCTAAAGATACCACTCCACCAAATTAAGTTTCCTCTCCTCTCTACGTGCAACTGACAATGGCCCAATACTGGGGCCTGTTCTGCTGTTCCATTCTCAGAACTATCTGAAGATGGGAATAGGAAGATGCTTGCAATAGGAAGAATACTGCAAATGCCTGTCTTTTCACTGCAAGAATGGGAACATGCCAGCAGAGCACATCCAAGCTTCTTGAGTCCAAGCAAGTATACAGAGTTAGCACGGAGTTCAAGGTCAAACTGAAGTACTAAGTACCCATTCTGTCAAGACCTCACCATGCTATTCCAGTCCCACAACTCGCTCTGAAGACAAGTTGTTCATGGCATGGCACTTCACAAGTCTTGGGACTCAGAAAATGCTCAAGTAAAAGCTTGAGATAGGAAATAGGAGGCACAGAAATAACTCGACCAACAGCTGTGTACCTTTTTACTACATGTTGGGGTAAGTGGAGTCCTCAAGATTGGTATCAGCTTTATCAGATCCTGTTAGAGATGCTTCTAGCTCTGCCCATGACTGAGGAGCATTGTTCTTTATTGCCTCTATGAAAAGCTGTGTTTGGTGCTTCAGCCGGTCCAGCTCAGCCTGAGTCACCTGGTTCTGGTGAATGAGCTCCTTGGTTTTTAAAGTGATCTCCAGCAATCCTGACCTGCGCAGCACAACAAGTGTATTCTGAAAGCGCCTGCACTTGCTTTGTTGCTGCAAGAGCAGCTCAGGGGTAGTGCAAATCTCTTCTGGAATCAACGGGGGGCTCCACACTGCAGACTGCATCATAGTCTGTGCTGCACTCTCGCTTTCATGGGAGGTGCACTTTGCAGCCTGCAGAGTTCCAAAAGGCAAAAGAGGAGTCAAACCCGGCACCTTCCGAGCGTCGCTGGAAACACGATGAAAACCAGGAAGAGCTGACAGTTTTCCACTTGTTGCCAGAGCTGAAGAACTTTGCTGGTCAGAATCCTGAGGGGCCTTAAAGCTAACTGGTAAGGGAGCAAAAGGACTAGTAGACAGTCCTGTGCTCCTCAGTGCAGGAGAAGTCTCCATCTTGGGTGCTTCTGTGCAGAGTCGTTTATGGCAATTGGTTTCTTGATGTTCTTCTAGATCAAAGGAGTGATCTCTTTTGCAGGGCTGAGGTGCTATTTTGGGATAAGAATTCAGGATGGGCAGGTAGTTAGTGGAGTCATTTCTCTTCTTTCCAACAGGGTGAGGGTTAATGGGAGGTGGAATTGATGGACGAAGAAACACTAGCTGTGGCTGAGCTGGAATCACTTCAAAGGATGGCTGCACAGTCCAAGACTGGAGCTGTGATGAACTCCCCTGAGAAGCACAAAAGGGGAAAAAACATCACTCTTACAACTACATTGTAGAAGAGGATGAAAAAACTTTAAAAGAAACAGGTGGACTGTGCCATTTCTCCATAATATTTGATACACTGTCCAATTCACGCGTTCTGATGAGTTTTCCACCAAACTCATCCTTCTCTTTCTCTGACAACAGAGCACAGCACTAGAATCAAAGCTGTAATCCATAATCCATTTACTATGAAACAGCAGATACATTTAAAAACAATTAAATCTGAATTTATACTTGCCTTCCTAAATGAGAATCACAGTGCATGCTCATACTGTACAATGCTCATGTAAAAGTTCAACCTAGACTTGGGGTCGAACAACAAGTGTACATAGAGTTCAAAAAATAATTAAGCATTGTGGTTATGAAATAGTTTAAAAGAGTCAAAGAAAGGCTGCATTGACATTTTGGGAACAATTCAGTCTCGCTCTTTGTTGAAAGGCAGCAACTCTAATCTTGTCAATTCTATTCTTATAGCAAGCTTTTGAAATGGTTATTTAAAATAGACGACAGCTGTTCTGTAAGTCTGGCAATCTTAAGTACAGTAAGTTTAAAACCATGAAGTAGAAAAAAAATGCTGAATATCAACCAATGCAAGGAAAAAAGCCTGTTGTAAGCCCAGAGCAGTTGAACTCCACACCTCTGGTGAAATGGTCCGCACCAATAAACCTTAAAAGCCTTATATTTCAAGAAAAATGTCCAAGTTTTTACTCCCTCCCATAAGCCATATTCTGCAATACAGGGCAATACATCCAATTTTACAAGACATTACCTCTTTCTCTTCCAATACGTTATTACAGATCTTTACAAGATCTCCTGGCCAAAAAGCATGCCTGCTTTTCTCCGAACATATCAATAGTCTAGTAAGAGGTACTATTTCTTCCTTGTTGGGGTCGATGTAGCTTGAGAGTTAGCATGACTAGGCCGCTTAAGCAAAACAGTTTGCATAACTGAACAGGCCTCTGGAAAGGACAGCTAAGAATAACAATAGAGAAAGTTCTGATAGTGCACATGATGTGGGTTAGCAAAAACAAGACGTGTTCAAGGACGTGGAGGTGGTCCGTTGCTATTAGCGTTAGTGCATAGTTACCAATCATAAGGGAATGTGGGGCGCATGAACAGCGTGTGATTTATGTCTGTAGCCTATCCGAATAAGCGTGGTCGTGGGTACAGATATGGAAAAATGTATATAACCATGCAAGCAGAGCAATAAAGTGAACTGACTGTGCATTGCATCAATGTGTGAAAGTCGTTCCTGTCCCTGCACGGATGCTGAAACTCGGCAGAGGAGGATAACAAAAATTGTGCTTGTGCAAATCCAAAAACTTCACTTTTTCAGCTTTCCCTAATGTCAAACCGTATAAATCTAAAACATTAGTTTCTTGATTTTTGAAACATCTTTATGTATTTTCTGCACTAATTGTTTGACTCTTCTTCCCTCTAAACTACTATAAAAGTCTAAATTCAACGGAATATTCTTACTCTGAATGAAGCTGGAGAATCTTTCCTGTTTGGATTAGTAGGACTTAGAGCTGATATGCTCTCCTAAGAAAGACAGATGGTGCAGAAAAGCCACATGTACCAATATATCTCCTGTAAAAATCACCCAGCCTTAATTAGAAGCTAATAGGAAAAAATATCATAGAATTCCCATAGGACTGATTGCTATTATACTGCGCCACACACAACATGTACAGCAACTTCATTTCATTTGTTTTTTCTATTAGCGAATAACACTATTGCCTGCAGGCATATAATTTCTTATCAAAATCAATAATATCTTAAAAAACTTCTATCCTTTATCAGGATATATATCGTCCTTTGATGATTCAAACATAAATTTATTTTATAAATATTTAAAATATGTTATCTAACAGTGTCTCCACTACTTAGGGAACTTTTAATAGAGCACATCACACACACTGAAACACAGATACAAAAGCAATGAAATGTGGCTATTATCATTGCTCAGACGAACATGAGTAGTGCTTATTTTGTGTAATTACATGTATTAGTGACTAACACTGTCTATGCATGAATAAAGCAAATTTTTTGTTAAATTAGAGATAGGAAGCAATGAAGGGGACATAAGATCAATTTAGTGTAGAAAATTAGTCTGTATGTAGACTAGAACTTGCTTTCCATTAGATAGAAACAAAGATAGTGGGTTGCAACTCTGAACGCAATTTGGTTATTAAAATTACCTTCTTATTGACCAATTATATTTGGAGATATTTTATGAGATATAGGACTTACATAGAGAGTTTTTTGCTTGTGTTTCACCTAATGCTGTCTCTAAGGAAATTTTTTTATATTTTTCTTGAACTGGGACTTTTGAATGTTTCACCTGTAGTAGTGTCCTGTTATTACATAACTGCAAATCACTGAACCAAAAAGGAAAAGTCATGAAGGAAAACCACATAATACAGTTAAATTTTATTAACTTACTGAAAATGCTCTGTATTCAGGCGGTGACAAATTATTTTAAAGGAAACATGAAAATATTCTTTGGAAAAAAGAAAGCTGGTGAATCAAGTTCCTAAAAAATTTGTCATTGCCACTTTTTTCTTTTAATACCATAAGACCATTCATTTTTAACTATTTCCAGATATTAAAATGTATGCATATTTTTAATATACCATCAGTTTCATGACATACCCACCTTTCTCTGTACAGTCTGAGCATTATAAATTTCTTTGCTTAAGGAAATATTGAATAATGCAGTAATCAAGCTAAATGAATAATTACAGAATATGAACATATATTATTCTGTAATTTTAACTGTTGGTATCTTTTGCTAATGCACTTTTTTTAATGGAGGGAATACATAGTCTAAGTATTGCACAAAAAGAAACTTTTGTTTTCCCATAATTTGCTATTTTATACTTGCACTCGCATAAGGACAGCACAATTAAATACAAATATTACCAAGAGACACTTATTAGCTATGATATTTCTGCCAAAAATCATCCACAATTATCTGGAGATACTGCAAGATACATCACAAACAGGGTTCTGATTATTTCAATTTGTGCATGTACCTGTGTTTTTTATTGCCAGCTATGTTTCCCTGTTGTTATCAAGGTATATTAAAAATGACATTTTCCTGACAATTCCCCCTTCATTTTTGCAAGTCTGATCAAAAGTGTCAGCATGAACAACCAGCACTCCGTTATTAGACCATCTACTATCTTGTCTATGATAGGCACACGTACAATGTTAAGTGAATGCTTTTGAAGGCAATAACCGCATTTAATAAGGTTTATCATATTGATGCTACTATCCATTAAACTATTTCCCTAAAATAGAATTTAGTTGCACGTAATATCTTTTAGTTACATTGCTTCTCCTCTCCAGTGTAAGAATGGAGTGAAAGAGCACCCTTCACTCAAACTCTGAAAGAAATGCCCCACAATTCTGACTAGCAGTCCCTAACAACAGTGAAAGCAGCAGAAAACAAAGCTTCCCATCTGAAATGCTGTTTAAGAATGTAGTTTTCATACAGAAACAGAACTTACGTGACTTATTTAAAAAACAGAGAATGTATGGGAAGATGAAGAAAAATTGGTTTCCTTTGCTCAATACTAGTGCTAATGTAGCTATAGGACATGGATATTTTCTTTTTTTTGTATTCTTTTTTTAGGAGAACAGCTAATTTCTGCTATTAAAAAAAGTGATAATAACTTTACTTAGTGATTAGTCCTACAGAAATGAATGATGTCATTCTGAGAAGAAAATGCTCTTCAGTAGATAAATTAGTCCTTGACGGTAGATCTATAGGTATCCTTACAGATCATGTATACTACTTCACGCTGGGGACTAGTGACTCAATATACCATAAATGTTTATCAAGCATTAGTATGTCCCACAGATCAACAATGAGCCAGCAGAGAGTCATTATTCAAAAATATCCCTAGCAAAGTTTATTCTCAATTAAAACTTTCTTTCAAGTGTAAAGTAGTAATTATGAAAACCTGCCTGAAGACAGAAGAAACTTACATTTTGTCTGAAATTAACGGGCCCATTACAAGAACCTAGCATGGGAATTAGACAGTTTTCCAGGACTGTCAATCCATACCTGTTTCAACAGTTATTAACGTTTAATGAGAATGGTATAAAAATAAAATAACCTCAGGCAGCTTGTCTGTAGTGGGAATGACATAAAAACCATTAGTCAAGTGTCCATAAATGGTCTGTCACCAGTAATGCAACACACAGAGGATGATATCACATCAGCTTACGCAGCCAGCCCACGACTGATAGTCAGCAATAGCATTTGTCTGGTTTAAAACGTCGTAGTATTTCAGATTTAGTCTACTCCTACAATACTTTACTTCCTCTTGATATAGGGCTTTTTCTTAAATGCATGGGAAATTTAATACCTTCTGTGTAAATCTGAAATACGCTTCTCATTGTCAAGTGTTTAAGTTACAGTCTAGCAAGTGGATCCATACTCAAATAAACTAGTACAAATTCTAAGGTTCATTTCATTTTTTTCTTTTAATATGTTAAATAGTCATCTCTTTGCACTACTGACAAATCTTGCCACTTGAAGATCAGAAATATTGTTAGGTAAGGTAAATAACTCTAAAACTATTATTTGCCTATATAAAATCAAGGTGATAAGGACTAGTTTCAACACATGGGAGAAAAAATATGCACAACTGCCACTATATGCTTCATTGCTCTTAGTCTTTGACCACATGACTTTCACCACAGCTGTCTGAGTATCTTCTCCTTTAAATCAGTAGGAACAGACAATGACTAGCAGACTCGGAAGTCTTTGGAATCTCCCTTTCTTCCCTTTGGCTCCCCTTTGGCTAAACATGTCTGACTAAAGCAAGACTTCCAGTTTTGAATACTTTGATCTATTAAACTTTGTCCCATTTTGGCTGAGCATGGAGGTCAGTGTTAGTGTTGCCCCCTTCTGATTTCACAAAGACTCTAGCAAATCTTTCCTGCATGGTGCTATACGCCACTTTCAAAATAACAACAAATCCCCTGAAAGAATAATTTTTTTCTTTCTGTGTTTCCATTGCCCCAGCTTTTCTCCCCAAACTCTAAAACTATTGTAAAGATTTGAGTCCTTGCTACTACTAGAGTTAACAATCAGGACTTTAGGTCATTGGAAATGAAAAGAAACTGATTCAAAGCAAATGCAGACAACTTCTGACTCAATTCATCTGCAAGATCATAACACTACAGCATGTGTTCTACTCAATTGTCATTTGCATTAAATCTTACTCTCAGGCAGAACTAAGTATTAGCTAGAGATGACTGTGTGTCTTTTGCTTTATTCTTGGTCGATTTTAATGTGGTACTACTGGAAAAAAGAAAAAAACCCACCACCCTTAAAAGTTGCATAGCCTAGAGCCAGTATCTAAGCAAATAAAATCAGATATGTCTTTCTCAAATTTCATATCTACAGAATTTACACCCAAGGGGATTCTTTTTTATTACAAATACTTCACATTTCTTACTCTCATTTTACACTTTTCTTGTATCTTTAACTCTCAGTATTAAAATGGTCCCTACATTCGATGCACTTAAATTTATTTCAATTAAAAAAAAGTTTTCTAAAAATAGAAATACTTTGAATATGTATGAAAATAGATGCTTTCCAATCAGGCAAAATCTCCCACAAAATTAGTCCCCTAAAATGAAATTGTATCTAAATTATGCCATTTATATTCCTGGTTTTTGATACACACCACTGACATGTCTACCAATATGATCTTAAGTAAGAGACACCTATGGCTGCCTAAGAAGAGGCAGTCTGATTAAAGCTGAAACTCAGAATCCCAAACTTCCTTACATAAATAGGACTTTTTCTTTTTTTTTTTTTTTTTTTTAATTTCAGCAGAACACTTCTAAGATTCAGCACAGCAAAACTATGTCCTCTGCTGAAACAGGAAAACAGTAAATAGATCCAACTTCAATTATGTGTC